ACTATCAATATATAGAATTGCAAAAAAATAATTATTGTTATAAAAAATAACTCTATTACTATAATAATATAAAAAAAGGTAAAATATATTTTGTGCACCCCACACCCTAGTGTGGGTATTAAGTAGGCTATATGTAATATAACACAAACACATTTCGTAATACAAACAACACATGATATCTATATTGAGGTTTTAAATGAACCCCTAAGATGATACATGCATAGTATAAATGGCAGTCATAACATTGTTTACTCAATTTGATATAATGATACACATATATAATAAGGGGCATGATTAAACAATCAACTTCTTTCGCTGGTGTAGTAATTCAAAACAGTATTTGCGAGTTAATTGCTTACAACAAAGTAAGGCGACGTTTAAAGTTTTGCTTTGTTACAAGAAAAGAATCAGATTGTGAAGAATGAAACTAGTAACATACCAAATTAGCAGAACTTATATAACATACTAAATTAACCAAGCTTACCGTACGTGCAATATCAGCTACTTATTTCCTTTGTTTAATATAGAAATCTAAAATTATTGAACATAGTGCTAAAAGTAAGGCGATATTCATGTTTGATAATAAAAGAATCGTTTGATTAGTGAAAAACTACACTGTTCATTTAGTAATTTATTTGCTTCTGTATAATTTTACAGAATAAACGGGCACTATTATTGACTATTTCTTGCTTGGTATAGCAGCCCACAAGAGTGAGTGTCATACAAAATAAGGTAAGATCTATGTTCTGTATTGTATAGGACAATTTTTTAGATTGGTTATAAACGAGAGAACTACCAAATATAACTTTAATAGTCTCCATATAATTTTTACCAGACAAATGGGTACTACTAATTGCTTCTTGCTTGGCGTAACAGTCCAAAAGCGAGTGTCTTACGAAAGATTAAGGTGATATTTATAGTTTGTATTGTTGTAAGACAATTGTTAGGTTAGTTATGATAGTTATGAGTAAAAGAAACCAACAAATTACTGAATGAATAGTACTTACCCAGAGAAGAGTTATCAGGCGATATTTTTTATTTAATTACTGGTGAAATCACATGAAAGTAATGTATTGGCGCGTTTGTGAAATTTTAAGGTGCTATTTAAATTTAGTTTGTTACAAAGCAAGAATTAAAGAGTATCAAAAAGACTATTGGTAATTACTTAGCATTATTTGAACTTCATTCATTATTTTTATTACAATTTACAGCCAGGAACTAATATTGTGATTGCTTTTTATGTTTTTGACAGTTTCTTAAAATGGAGATAAGTATTGATTTGAATTTGAATAATGAGGTTGAATATGATGATTCTGACGAACAATCAGAAGATGAATATAATGAACCATTAGAGCTTTATAAGGGTAAGAACTATTTATAGCACTGTGTTTATTAAGAGCCAAATAAAGTTAGGTTTTACAGCATCTATATTACCAGGGCAAATTTTTCAAACTACTGAGGAAGCATTTATTACAATTAAAACTTTTGCTCTTTCACATAGATTTGGGATTCGAAAAGGGCATGTTGAAAAAGACCCAAAAAATGGACATGAAATTTCAAGAACGTTTTTATGTCGTCATACTAGAAAATCGTTAACTAAAAACAAATCTCATAAAACAGAGGCATCTGGATCATGTCGAACAGACTGTAAATGGAAAGTTAATATATACTGGAGTAAGCACTTAAATCAATATCATCTTTCCACTTTTACAAATATTCATACTGGTCATATACTTGATCCAACATCTATAAGATTTATTCCAAAAAGTTGAAAGTTAACTGATAACATATTAAAAGAAATTGAATATTATACTTTAGTCAGAAAGCTAAATGCCAGTGCTCAGTATCATCTTCTTTCCAGAAAGCACAAAGTCCCAATTCATCGTTGTAATCTATATAATGCAATTTCAAAATTTAAGAGAATAGTTATATGTATATTAATTTAATTATTTATTAATTTAATTATTCATTAATAGTTACTAATTTAATTTGTTAATTAAAGATATTACTAAAGCAGAAGTAGGTCAAAATCCCGACAGGCAGTATCCCGACAGGTCATAATCCTGATAAAAAAATCCTGACAGCTAAAATCTCAACAATCAAAAATCCCAACAATCAAAATATATTCATGTGACCGATTATCAATCATAGATTTTTAATAAATATCCTTGACCGTTAACGATAATAGATAAACCAAATCACTAAATTGCTGTTTATGAATTGGGTCAATGTGCGAATCATAGGAATTGATTTTTTTTTTAAAAAAAAAAAAATATATATATATATATATATATTTTTTAAATGGTCTAGTATAAATAAATGTAAAATGTACATTCTTTTAAAAATTTTCTTAATGACAAACTCAGCTATATTTTAAATCTGGATTCTTTTATAGATTTTAAAATTGGTGGAATATACCAGACCCAGATCTTGTATATAGCAATTTATGGTAACAAGTGCATAGTTTAATACAAGTTTTAAGCCTATAATTAACTTTTGTTCTTTTTTTTTAGATTTTTCTCTGTTATTGTTAAAGGAATTGTTGCTGTTGAAGTAATCGTTACTGGAGATGTCATGTTAGTATAATCATTGATCTTAGTGCTGTATAGTTCTAAGATTTGTCACTTCTGATGCTTTTCCATGTGGACTTCTTTGACAGCATGCTTTTACATCTTTTGGCATCTTGTAGCTCTTGAAGTAACATCCAAACTTAAGTGATTTCAGGGATTATTCATTGAACAATAAAAATCTCTAAAATCGCTTAAGTTTGAACGTTTTAAATTTGATATATTAAAATAAGACACCACTTTCTTTTTGTTTATGTTAATTAATAGAGGAATATCCACTTGACCCATTTATATATATTTTTTTGATGTTTCATTAGAGGTGTATAATTCTACACAATCAAAATACTAATTCTATAGAATGCATCATTCTGAAATCCTAAATAAAGTACTTAAGCAATTCTATTTTAACTTTTAAAATTACACAAATAATGCTGAAAATAATTGCCACGGCTGATAATAGAAATTAGCTGATTCTGAAATTTGTAAAAAATATAAGCTCTTCTAAAATCTACATATACACTTTAATAATAAATTCTAGTTCTGAATCCTAATCAAACTCTAAAAAAAAAAAAGTGAAAAAAAATGCCCTTAAAAAATTTAAAACTTCATATTAAAATAGGTCTAAATTTCAGCATCAGTCACAACATTAATTGAATTTTTGGATTTGATATAAAAAATTTATTTATTCAATCTGGTACATATGATTTTACTATGATCAATTTTAAGCACTAACTAATTGAGAAATCGAAAGAATCATAATGATCGATACAGTCAAACCTTCCTTTTATTGTTGTTAAATTAATGAATCAATACAGAACAATATATATACGCTACTTCTATTGTATAAACCATATGACCTGGGTTTTTAAAGATGCCTAAAATTATTATGACTTGTTTACATGATTACATGTTTTTTTACAAAGTTGATTTAAAATTAATAATCCGGCAACCCAGCTTTTAATTTTATTAAAAAATTTCTATATATGTAAACATTTAAAAACTTACCCAAATATAGTAAACATAGTTATCTATACTCCTCTTAGTATAGCTTACCCATTTTAATAGTTAATGGTAGCTTTTTTCTTTAATCAAGAAACGATACAAAAAACAATTAAAGACAAAAATGATAAAAAAAAATCAATAAATAATAGTGTAATTTATTGTAATTTATTACTTATTTCTGAGTGAACTCTAGAATATAATCGACTTTAGCTGCTCTAATTAATCTAGCTTCTTCTACCAATGTTTTAAAATTTTCTTCTGATAATCATAATAAAGCATTGGCAGTAATATTTTGAACAGTAAGAAGGTTATGAGTGCCTCAGGCATGATACAATTGGTATATGTATAAAGCTGCCTTCCAAGTATAACGATAAGTACTATCCAAAGATCTTATCACCATTCTATTAGAACAAGCTCAAATGTCATTATATTTAGATGATTTAAAAAGAACTAATATCCCTACCAGGTAGGATTGTAATTTTGCATAATTTTATGTAATTTTGTTTTAGTAAATTAGTTTTCATACAAAATATACAATTTCAAGATCAAATATTTGGTGATTAAAGAGTACTAATTGATCATATATTCAATGATAATAATACTGGCCGAATTTTGTAAAGTTGGCACATTATATATAATGTGATGAAACTTACATAAAATCTCATTTACTGAAACTTATGTAAAATTTCATGTATTGTAAGTTTGTAATATTCATAATGCAACCCTACTAACAGGTCTCTTGAAGAAGTACATGGTGAGACCTAAGAAGATCAGATTACATATATTAGGAACAGGATGCATCAAAATCGTCTTGACTAGGTCTCCTTTCTTCAATATTATTATCTTTTGGGAAGTTGAAAAACATTTTTAATTAATTTTAGTGTGACTAAAAATAATGCCATTGTATTAAAATTTTTATTTAAATAATAGAATTTAATCCTAAAATTCTGCTCTTTCACGAAGGTAAAAATTA